ACCACGGAAACGTAAGTACCACGGAATCATATGACGGCATGCTTACATATGCTATTTAATGTTTTATTATATTGTATTGATGTGGGAATGAAAAAAAGATTTGTTGGTATTCTATTACATCTCTTCATTGAGGACCTTTTGTCCTACCCATTGAGGGCTTTTTGTCAAGGGGGCATTTAGCCTAGGTGTCCTCCCATTACGCGGACAGCCAGTTCGCAGACACCTTAAAACAACAACATTTACGGTTCAGTGAACAGATTATGTACTACCTGTTACCTGCACATTATATTGGAATAGTCCAAATAAAAACACAGGAACAAACTGAAGCTATATTATTTATTTTGAAAGATGGATGAAAAGACAGTAATTTGAACAGTTTATTTTCATAAACATTTCTAGTCTAACGGGAGTCGGCATCATCATATTGAAAACATTAGCTTTTCTATTAGAAATTGCGACACTGTTGTATCATATAAATCAAATAAAGACAAATGTGAACCTAAATATTATTCATATGGAATAAAGAAGTTATATGTTTTGCACACAATATTAAGATATATGACGAGTGCATTTAATTACGATATATTTAGAATAATTTTTTTTAGAAATGACGCATCATGTCAATGTGGCCATGGATGTGAGAATGTTTTTCATTACTTCCTTGAATGTCCATTGTATACTACACAAAGACATAAACTGTTACAATCTTAAGAAAGTATTGCTAAAATTAGAACACTGATTGGTATTAATCGTATCTTACATGGCAATGCAGGTGTCTCATTTACTACAAATCAGAATGTTTTCAAATATGTACATATCTATATCTCTCCACAAAAACGTTTTCTCAATTAAGTTCTGTTGTACATATGTTATTATTGGGAGGGGGCCTTTTCTATCAATAAACACAATATAACATTTCAGTGACAATCCTGTATTTATATTCGATAGTAATTGATAGTAAAATCGATTTTGACAAGAGATATCATTTATCATTTAATCACAACAAAGTTCTATTTACAATCCAACTTCTCAGTAACGAGCCTGTTTCAGGCTCACCCTACTCTACTCACAAGACAGTGGATTGTTCCATTATACCCGTAGGTGTTACCCTAATTAACCTTCTAGTTCAGTGTCTGCCAATTGGGTGTCTGTCAAATGGGTGTCTGTCAAATGGGAGATAACCTTAGCCTAGGGTTGTTTTGTCTGAGGGTGTAATGTCCTTGGGGGCCTATTGTCCTACCACCCGTATTACAACACAAATAATAAAATAGATAAGATCTATATTATGATCTCGGTAGCAACAGCATGGAGAGTGTTGTTCAGTGACAAAACAATGTGAAAATACATCGAGGACACTTACGCAATGGATTGATAATATATCTAAACGATATCAAATACAGAACATCATAAAACATATAGTGTAGTAGTTATGTACTAAGCATGTGTTTCAAGAGGAGGTGCTGCTTAAAAACTAAATCCATGTCTACATCTATTAGCCATTGTCAGACAGGCTTTGTCGCCACTATAGTAGTCAGGCTGTCGAAGACGAAGTCCATTTCTTAGTTAGCTGTCCTTATTATTCTGATCTTCGGTATGATCTGTTTAGAAAAAACTAGTATCTTGTACCCAAATTTTGCTCAGTTATCAAACACTGAACAAGCTACACTCCTCTTACAAACAGAAATTATTGTTAATCCACTGGGCGCTTTAGTTAGCCGTATGTACCGGCGTAAGCTATCATCCCTATAAATTTCTTTCTTTTTCCTTAGGTCTTTCATATGAGTGATACTCCTTAATGTTTTAATCTTATATTTTATACATTTTATGCACATATTGTCTAGTGTGTCTCATTGGCCTGGTGTCTTTTTACCGTTGCCATTTTTTTACATGTACATTCACGTGACACAACTATTTTGTCTTGCCTGTCTATAAATATTTTAACTACCAGTCCTACGTTCATTGAAATATATTTGGACTTTGGACCGTAGCCTGGGATGTTGATACGCTTTACAACAGATTACGTGAACACCCAGTGGGGCGTGGAGGGAGGTATGGGTGGTCGTGTACGCCATTGTGTTTGTTTTGCAACGCCAATAACCTTTCTCAAAAAGATGTGCAAAAATGGTGTGTGTATGGTGTAGTGTGCAGATTAGCCAAGATGAACACGTTGTTCATCCTGCAAGACCGTTCAGGCAGACGGTGAAAATATCTCTATTCGTTAAGTCGGCAAATCACAGATACATGTTATTGTGAGTACTTGATAACTGAAGCAACGTTTCTGTGTAGGTTCTCACACCATGTTCAAGCTAACGGTGACAAAAACAAAGTGATTAGAATGATCGAATGCTGTGACAAACATCGTGTACTTGAATAACAAGTGGTAGATAATTGGACGAGGCTAGGTGGGAAGTAAGAACAAAAAATAGCACAGCCATGAAGCCGATAAGCAGGACGGATTAATTTGTAAAATCAGTCATAAAAAACGGGTGCTGATTGATAAAGTCTATAGCGTGGTCAGCCATTCGTAGGCTATGGTATGTAGTACCCTTCGTCAGTCACTACATTCGCAGCGCTCGTCACACGTTGCTTTATGCAATGAACAAGAAGTTGCTATTAACAAAATGATTAAGAAGCCGCATGCTAGAATGCCTATGAAACATACAATCATAATTGCTGTTCATAACGTTGTTGTATAATTTGTATATATATACAACCTACTTTAACCGACCTTGTACAAATGAAACATAGTGTATCGAATATATCTAACATAGAACTGAACCAAACATCTAATGTATTGTCTAATGTCATGATGATATGAATTGTTTAAATTCCTCAAACCGGTCTTGGGGGTAATAACAGAAGTGTATATAGTTTTAGTTTCCTGATCATGAATCAGTTATTGTCATTCTGATGCAAATACCCCAAGCCCAACAAGATCAGATCCAGATCAGTTGATCACACTGATTGCTAATTACCTAAAATAAACAAGAAGTGGCCCACACGCAGGTGTCTCAAATTATCTGATACAGGTGAAAGGACGGTCAAATACACACTCTCCCAAATAAAGATTCATTACGAGTATTTACACAGGATGGTATTTGTTGGGATAGTTTATTACTACTGTCTAGAACACATGTTTTCTACCCGCATTACATTATTACACAAACTTTTCACAACATAATGCAGGATTTGAAGAAGTGAAACATTTCAAGTTTTATACAATATGTATATACATGCATCCCTGTTTCAATTCACAACATAATAATATTGTAATCAGAACCCTTGACCTGAACACTCACCACTTGCCTACTACCTATGGAAGATTCGTTCTGTTAGTTCATTCCCGGGAAGACGACAACTGTGATGTTTGAAACAACAAATCAGTGGAGCATGCAAGGATTTTCAAGTCAGACTGCCTCTGGAGAACAACGGAGGTTCTGTGCGATTTTAAGCACATGGATGATTCTAAATTGTTACACCCCTTAAAATACATATGACATATTTATCCGTGACCATTTTATCGATAACAAATAATTTATATACATTTGAATGTCATTATTCAACTGTAGAAATATATAGTTTAAGTGCAGTTCTTATCTAGGCACATCCATGATATCCGCGATGTTGCATTGCGTTTGCGACTCGCTCTAAACATGTATCCATCTATACAGAGATACCTTCCTCCACGTGAGGTTGGAATGAACTTGTACTCTAACTGCTGATTTGTCATTTCGAAAGTAATGCATTGGATTGCGCGGATAAGCAGGATATATACCCATAATAATTAGTGAGTAAATATCAACAAATAATTAGTGAATTAAAATCAGTGTCAAAGGCAATCAGTAGTAGTGGATCAATGTCAATCAGTTAGTCATTATTTGAAATAAATCAATGTCAATCAATAAGCAGCGAGCTGAAATCATGTTCATATTACAATGTGAGTTGATATCATGAAAATGAACACCGATTTCGTTATGCAGTTCAGTTTATAGTATAACCCACCTCACTAATCCATTAAAACATGAGTCTACCTCGGCGAAACATTTTCACTGTAATACCAAATGTCGTCTTAAGGGGAAGACACCTAATCCTGATTCGATTATTGTAAGACTGTTTGAAAAACAGCTTCATTGTGGTTTCTAGAGTACACATCTGCCATATACAATGCAGTGTTCCATTGTACAGTTCGAGGGACTATACAAACAATAGAGATACATAAACCACAGCAAAGGGACAACGGGACTCATGTGAGAGATGAAATGAATGCAACTTAGCCCAATGAAACTCATGTAATACAGAGTGTGAATAAACAATGTATAAAGAAATCACCAAATTATTTTTATTTTCATTTCGTCTTGATAAGATATTAAAATATGCCTTGTAAGATTTGTGCGGCGATCTACTTCTGGGAACCATTTCCCCTCCCACTTGAAGTGGCTTACAGGAGAAAACATCATTTGAAGAAAGTCCATACTGAATTATCCAAAGATGGTGTGTAATATTTTTCAATTAAGATAATTCTGGTAGTGAAATAAAAAATTCTGCCAGAAATTTCTGCGGGAAAAAATATTTCTGCCAAAAATATCTGCGGTAAAAAAAAATTCTGCCAGAAATTTCTGCGGAAAAAATAAATTCTGCCAGAAATTTCTTCAGAAATGCATTTTCAGAGCCAATTTGTGAGCATATGAACACGTGAGCGCACTGGCACATGAACTTTTTGGGTTCATCTCCTCGAGATCTTTTCAATGATATAAATTATGTCTTTGTAGCTCGCTTCCTTCTGTGTGTCAAGTTAGGACTCGCTGGCCATTCCTAAGTTGTCCCACCCGGCCTATCAAGCTGCTTTGTTGCCGTTGAAACATATTGAAGTGTTCTATCCTGCAAACTAAATGTATATCTGTAACGTTTCTGGTGCTACATGGTATTACGGACTTCAATGATCTGTCCATAAAACTGCCAAAGGTTTCAGCCTTTACGCCTGTTTGAATCTGTTTTATGGGATGAATCTAATATGTGATTTCTCTCCAGTGGATACCAACTACGTTTACTTGGCAGCTGGTTTAGTGTGTCAGGTTGCCCTTCTGGTCCTCAATGTAAGACTGATGCGTCATGTTGAACATCAGATGTTGAAGAAGAGTTCCACACAACAACAACGGGCACTGGACGGTAATGTATATTCCTCGGATAGATCAAATTTGGATGAAACTCAGACAAACGTTACATTTCACGAGGATACAACGACGGACATGAAGTCAGTGGATATTCGAGCCACTGCAAACCTGTCACTGACTGGACACCACCCCGATAAAACTAACGTTAATTGTGTTCAAGGACCAGAGAACACACTGGGGATGTCACAGTCAGCTGATGTTGGTCCCCACTCAGTGCAGACGATTCCCAGTCCCGATCGGCAGAATAACACGCGGGTCAGGTCCCTAGCATCAGGAACTGGAGGGGATGACACGCCGGTCAGGTCACTAGCATCAGGAACTGGAAGGGATGAACGTACCAGTCGTGACACTTTGCTGCAGAGTGACATCAGCCAAACCTCATCTGAAACAGAAGATGAGGATTTCTCGGCTGATACTGACAGCCACAGCAGTCAGGTAACGTCGCCAGCTGAAATCTGCTTGCTAAATAACTGCACTAGTACGAACACTAGCATACCTTCTACCCGGCTCGATAATTTCACTAATAACCTGGACCATCAGAAACACCTATACGTCAGACCCGAAAATGTTTATGGAAATCTATTCACATCAAAAGGGACACAAACAAAGTATAATCATGAAAACACAAGAACAATATTCGGATACGAATGGAACAAATCTGCTGACTTTACATCCATGGGAGGACTTCTAGCTATTCCAAAGTCGGACATAGCCCTCGAGGTTCCAAGGGACGCCGTACCCAAAGGGGAAAGTGTCTATGTTCAGGCGTTTGTCAGTCCGGAGTTCCACAAACTTCAACCCTTCATGGACGATGACGAGGTTGTTGTATCCCCAGTTGGTGAATTTCAAATGTCGTGCAAGCGGAAGTGGGACAGACACGTCAAGATACATATACCATGCATCCAGAGGAACCCAAAAGAAACTTTCAGGGTTAGATTCTTCCAGAAAAATTCTTCTGGCAGTGTGGAGGTAAGTAATATTGATGTCAGATTTCGCACTGTGTTGTTTTATTGTCAAGACGATTTCCCTAACTATGAGGGTTTCTGTCTCCCTGGGCTTCCTATAAATATGGCTCATGGTGACATGGCATTGTGAGTGGATGGTCACCGTCCATGATATATAATGTATGATTGCCATACCGAATAGTGGAATGTATCCCCTATTTAATTGTGCAGTAATGTATCTATTTGGCAATAGTACAATAATTATGGGACTTCTTGCAATGTACCTCAATGAGGACGTTCCCCTGTGAATGTCACCTTGTCTGATAACACAGTAGGATGAAAACAATCATTGATAAATTAGGGATATTCCTGAAACCTTGAACTTGGTAGTTTCGAGAGAATAAAGTAATACCTCCTGGTATGTTTCCCCTTCGTTTATCCAAATATAACTATATTCATAAGCACGCAGAGTATATGGGAATTATTTCCAACATGAACGAAGTCTGGGCATGATGAATCAATCTGTGGACATTCATACCCTGAGATCGTGATGAGTGTTTTTGTCCACGGGAGCCGTGGAGTAGCCTGGTGGTCAAGCGTCAACTCATCACGCCGAAGACCTGAGCTAGTTTCCCTTAATGAGGACAATGTGTGAAGCCCATCTCTTGTGTTTCTTGCCGTGATATTGCTGGAATATTGCTAAAATCGGCGTAACAACTAAACTCACTCATTGTTCAACCCGGGCCCCCATCCTACGTTACTATTATCTCCCTTGGGTTCAGTATATTCTGCGATTCTGCAGTCAGTCAGTAGCGCCTATGGTTTACAGTTTGGCGATGTTCCCGTGAAGGAGGATGGATTAAACCAGGAACTGTACTACGCCAAGAAAGAAAATCATGTAGAGATCTTCACCGTGCATTTCACTGGCTTCTTCTGTTCTGTCTGCGGACACACCTGCCCCCTTGACCTCCTGGCCCTGGTGTTCGGGTGTTACGGTCACCATAGCAACGAGGCCTGGATCACTCTGGTTGTAGGGGACCGCAGGATCAGCATCCCAGAAGTCAGGCAGGTATGGGAGCGAGGAAGGGAGAGGTATTTTTGCCATCAGTGTCATAGATAACAGCTGGTACTGGTTCGAGTCTGGGACAGACAGTGTTGCTGATGCAAGCTTGACATCCCACGGGGAGTTAAAACAGCTCCCGTTACACACTGTAAGCAAGCTTTATTTGACAGAAGAATTCTGTGCGGTGTATCCACTTGAACAGATTCAGTCTGACATCTGATATAGTGTTTATTAAAAGTAATATGGGACATGTGAATTGCTACCCAGTGGATACAATGTAGTTACTGCCTGTTTACATTCATGAACGGTAGATCAACGACGGTTCAGGGATACACCCATACCATAATCTCAACTATGTACAGGTGTCTATATCGGACTTGATGTAGTGTTTTGCTATTAGCTAATGAAAATGATTATTATTTGAGGATTATCAGTTAAGTTTCGGGGCAAGTTATCTTCCAGGGTGTCTTTAATTGGCAACTCGTCTCAAGCATTGACTTTATATATACCAGACATTATAGTGAATATATTTCCCTGTTGTAGAAAATCATTGACAAAGAGAAGGCTCTGAATGGCAGCGAGCTGGTAGCTGAACGTCCGGTACGTCTGGTGGAGGCGTATGACTGTCAGAGTCGGCTGATGTTCACACTCCATGTCCGGAGTCACGCCGAGATGTGGAGGAACGCTGACACGGACTCTGGAGATAAGCAGGTAGGGGATGACTTCAAGCAGTCTCAGACGGAAACGTCTACGTACATGCGTGTATGTGTGCGTGTGCACATTGGGTTTGTTACTACGCAATCCAGCACAATCTAAGCTGAAAATGATTAAGTCTGGACAGGACAATCCAGTGACTGACCTTAAGATCCAAGGTCGATACGCTGTTGGCCCTTCATATATCTCACCTCGCCTTCTGGTCGGATACAAACACAATCACGTTATCTGATTGGATACAATATATTCTAATTATCTCACTTGGAAAAATATAATCTTGTTATTTATCGAGCGAACTGAATAGACACTACAATTTAACTGTCTGACTGGACACAGTATATCTAACTTGCCACGCTACAGCATAATGTAGCCATGTGACTAGACACAGTACAATGTAGCTATGTGACTAGACACAATACCATGTAGCTATGTGACTAGACACAGCACAATGTAGCTATGTGACTAGACACAACACAATGAAGCTATGTGACTAGACACAGTACTGTGTAGCTATGTAACTAGACACAGCACAATGTAGCTATGTGACTAGACACGGCACAAAGTAGCTACGTGACTAGACACAGCACAATGTAGCTATGTGACTATACACAGAACAGTGTAGCTATGTGACTAAATGAAATTCAAAGTAGATATGTGACTAGACACAATACAAGCAGCTACGTGACTAGATAAAATACAATGTAGCTATGTGGCTAGATAAATACAATGTAGCTATGTGTCTAGATAAAATACAATGTAGCTATGTGACTAGATAAAATACAATGTAGATATGCGACTAGAGAAAATACAATGTAGCTATGTGACTAGATAAAATACAATGTAGCTATGTGACTAGATAAAATACAGTGTAGCTATGTGACTACATACAATACAATGTAGCTATGTGACTAGATAAAGTACAATGTAGCTATATATATCCTCAATAAACCAACCATAATAATAATATCTATCTATCTCGGCAACAATAATCCTTCTGTCTGACTGGACACAATACAGTGTTCTGCTTGGTGGTTAGACAAGAACATGAGAATAGAGACCATTTGCTTGCGATTTTGCTTCGAATATATTTGTAGAAGCCACTTTCCTATTTAGGACAATTCTGTCCTACTGATGTGCTAATCTGGATATGGCAATTGTGCTATAACCCGTTTTGTACATACTGGCTGTACACAATCACAGTAACAGTTACGTGGCCTGTGCGTGTGTTTGTCCCAGGTGCCACTAGTGGATCAGGATCTGCTCACCTATTCGCGAACACCTGGTATCATCACTATTTACTGGGCATCAATAAACACATGTTTATTATGTAGTCTGAACCGCAGAATCGATTTCTTATGATCATTGATAGCTTTTTCGTTTCTTTTTTCTTCATACAACCCCTGTCTAATCTGAGACAAGATGAACACGGAAATATATTCCCCACGTCCAATGAATATAGAAGGAAAATAAGGGATTTGCGTTTGAGTTCAAGTAATATGTGCACATTTTTGTATCTCTGTTTTAGTTACAAGGCGAGGTGTTTTTCCAGGATTCAGCGGTCTCTGTTGCAGGTACGGCGACTGCGGGAACTGATCAAGTGCAGCTGCTCCCATCAACCCAATGTGACATCTTCCGAGTTTGAATCCCATCACCAATGTGAGGACAACTTGCAGTGGGTGTATTCATGTGATGATCCGCCCCTCGACTCCTTCTCGTGCAAGATCCTCGTGGAGCACCTTCTGAATGGGGATGTTGTCACTCCGAGGCACGACGCATGCAACGAAGGCGTGACTAGGATCATTGTTCCACCTGTGAAACTGCAACGCCCTCAACACTCTGAAAAGGTAAGGCATTTTGAACTAAATATTTATAGTAAGGTAGTACAGTGAATACCGGTACACAACGCCATTTAGAGAGTGGTCACATGTAACATAGGTTACATTTGGGATTTCACTTTCTCAGTCATGTACAGATTCTAGTATTTTGGGGGGCTGAGTCCCATCCTGGATTCCAACCCACACCAACAGAGTCAGGCACCACATCGCCAGCACACAAAGTCATCCACCTAACCAGCTCAGCCACCGCGGCGTCCACGGTGGACGTCGAACAACTGGTAGTCCAGATTGCGGTGGAAGTGAAAGCGGCAATGGCTGACTTTTTGTGCTGGCGATTTGCTGCCGGACTCTGATGGTGTGGGTTGGAAAGCCGGATGGGACTCCTAGAATCTGTACTTTACTAAGTAAGTGTAATCCCAAACATAACAGATGTTACATTTGCCCACATTCTAAATGGCATTGTGTAATGGAATCAGTATTCCCCTACATATTGAGCGAAAAGAAATGCATGCCATTTAGCTTTCGTTTGTGTACAAGTGCCAACTATTTCAATATGTCTCAAGCTTCTGAGTAACTGTACTACTGATATTTTCTACTTTTGTTCTTCCAGATGAAAAGCCAAGACCTCCCACCGATGGGTTTTGGCGAGCTCACCAGTTCAAAGAAGCCACTGTTTTCTCATGGCACTACCTTCTCTTCCACCAGACCTCCTCCTTAACGGCAGAGCGGATATTCATCTCAAATACAGACTCATATTTCAAACACTGATTCCCACATGACATACACATGTTGCCGCGATACCGGACGCTTGGTGCCTCGTTTCATCTGTTGATGCGAAACATAAGTAACATCTGTAGCAGAAGTACACCAAGTAGCAGGATATGTATGATGTCATTGATGTGTGTGTTTCTCACGATTTGTGTGTCCTCTACTTATAGTTTGGTTGATGGGATAACGTTTTTACACAAGCCGACAACCAGCAGCGTGGTGTCATTCACCTCGACATGAGTGACAGGTATGTTGTGTTTGTATACACTGTGTCTTCAGGGAAATGCAATGTCGTCCCTAGATGTCTACTAAGTCACACCCACTAGAGGGCTCTGCCACGGAACGGTCAGAGCACAGGTGAATTCTGAACAACGGCCACAGATGTTTGCTCGACAGAGGCACGCATCTATTGTAGGTTTCAGGTTTGTAACTATAATCCTTTACTGTTGGTTCATATAATGCCCCTCCCAACACATCAAGTGGATACGTTTACATCTCCGATACGTTGGCGTATCTGACTCTTTATAAAAAGCAAGATTTCTCTGAATTAAATCAGGGAGAGAATATAAACACAACCTTGATCTTTGGTCATCCTAGGTTTTCATTCAATAGCAGTTTTCTAAATAAAACGTGTATTTTTGTAAGGACATTTCACGTCTTGTCTCTTTACCAGGTCCCTGAAGGTGGGGACATACCTGCCCCTGGGGCAAATCTGTATCTGGGGCAAACATTTGCTCTTTTAACGAAGATTTCGGAAAGCCTAATACACTCAAACATATTTGGTTTTAACGCTCAAGCCTGAATCTGTATCGGCGAAAGTCGAATCTGCTTGTTTCCTTGCGTGAACGTGAGGGTTGTTGACTGGGCTGATGTCACCTTATAGAACCTAGACGTCGTGGGACAGTGTGAGTCTGTCACTGGATTGTGTGAGTGGATTATGTCTGTACCAAGGTTCATACAGCTGCCATATTGCTGAGTGTCATGCTACACAACATACAAGTAAACGCTGTGCTCGGAGCCACCGACAATATATTTTGCATCATCAAGCATTAACATTCAACTATGGCAAGGGGACTGGTGAAGCCCTACACGTAAAACCAGAGATAAACTAACGACTAGTCTGACAATACCCCTGGAACCGTGCCCCCTCAACGAATGCAACAGCAGTGCTTGGCAATTATTTTACTTGTGACCTAAGTCGCATGTTTTTCATCGATATAATCTCAGATAACCTCAGGAAGCTTGTTTCCATTGGAAAAGCTATCGGATATTAGTAAGATTATTGTTGCAGTTATTTTAAAGATCTCATTAGAGAAATATAGCGTATGTGTAATCTCAGATGTGTCCAGCATACTTCATATAAAACTTGTAAACCAAAGAATTTACTCTTTTTTGCCAAACATTTTTCTCTATTAACAAAGTGAGTTTGACCTTTGGTGTATTTTTCACAAAACTATTTCTTTTGCCACCACTGCCAACAGATTCTCTTCATTCAAAAACCCATCTTGACCTTGTGTTGCTAATTTTGTAGCATAAGTATTTTTTCAGCGACATTTCTCGTTGCTTCCAGTATTTTCTCTTTCCTTCAACTAGTTTCAAGAACTTGAAATTTCAAGTGTTTTCTTTCAGAAAGTGTTGAACAACAAACAAATAACCGAAACAATTACGCTGTAGAAACTAGTTTATGCTACAAGAGTGGCAGCATTAGGCTTCCATAGAAAACAAACTTTCAATGCTAACATTGTAAGGTTTGTATTGCTTTTCCAGTTACAAGATTCAGTTGATTGCCTTGACCAGAGTCTCCTACGTGTGATGATGTGATTTTACCTACTCTTTCCTACAAAATGGGTATTTCTCTCACCGGCACTTTATACTTTTGACAGTGAGTAATGCTTTAAGATTATTGCAGCTGTGTTGCTATATTTGCTGCCAGGTGATGAGACTCTGTGTAACTGCATGTATTTCGTACAAAGCATAATTCAGATGTTTGACTGGGTGTGGCCATTATTGACTGCACCTGCTGACATTTTCCGCTTTCTGTTAACTCACTGCCTTTACAGACCTCTCCCTAAAGTGTAGGGTTGCAGATGACTGAATTAAATACATCTTCGAAAGCAATTACTTGGAGGAATTGTTTTAGTAAAATAATGGCAGTGTGTGAAAATGGTATGGCGATGAAAATCCGGGATAGAATTGATCTTCTATAACCAAATACAGGCTCGCTGACTTGGTTGACCCATGTCATCGTATTCCAGTTGCGTAGATCGATGCTCATGCTGTTGATCACTAGATTGTCTGGTCCAAACTTGACTGTTTACAGACCACTGCCATTAGCTAGAGTATTGCTGAGTGTGGCGTAAAACTACATTCGTTCAATGTAATATATATTATCAAGGGACTGTTTGTATGTATTTTTTACGTTTACCTTCATTATATTTTCTAATGTGATTTGATATCATATTGAGTGGGAAGAAATAGTGCAGTCCAAATGTTAATTGTCTTCCACATTGTCAATATTTTTTTCAATGACATGCAAACCACAGATACTTCAGCAAACATTTACCATGTCTACTTCAGGTGAGTTTCATTGTCAGGTACACATATTGTATGCAACATGCTTCGACCGTATGATATGAACTGATTTCGTTAGCAAAAGGTGTTCTATCTAGAACATTCGTGTTAACAGTTTTGAAACTGTTGGCAATAAGCTAGTGGTAACTGTCATTTAGTGTGGTGCATGCACTAAATGTAATGCGTAACAACGTTCGAAAGTACCATAAATTAGTTTCAAGAGTTATTTCCCTTACTACGTGTTTCGATTTTGTGCATACAGGGCTGTAAACGCATGTCTGGCACAGGACCTTTGCAATAGTAGTATCGTTTGAGAAGGTATTATTTAATAAGTGTATTATTTTCATCTGAAGGCGAGATATAACATGATGGTTTCTTGGTATATATACCAAAATTGATCATTGTGACTATTATTTCACATATTTCAATACATGGTTTAGAGGCAAGTGGAGCTCAGTAGTATCACTTAAATAGGTATAATTTATTACTTAATAAGTGTATAATTCGCATATTTAGGCTATTTATGACAAGATAATTTCATTTCATACATACAAAACGTAAGTATTGTGCTTTTATTATTTCGCACATTTCGTAAAGCATGAAATGAGACAATATTACCTTTTCCAACACCAAGGTAATAGTAGCATAGCTTAAAACGATATAATTTATTAGGTAATAAGTATACTGTTTTCATCTTCAGGACACTTATAATATCATAGGGTCTTTAGATGAATATCAAAATTGATTATTGTGATTTAATTATTTCGCACATTTCGTAAAACAAGCAATGAGACAATTTTACGTAATTTAAAGGCAAGTCTCAAACAGCGCCCAGGCAACAGTAGTATCGCTTAAAATGGTATAATTTATTAGGTGCTAAGTATATTATTTTCATCTTTAGGCTAGTTATAATATGATGGCTACTGAGAATATATAACAAAATTGATCAGTGTGATTTTAATATTTCGCACATTTCGTAAAGCGAGAAACGGGACAATTTTACGTGATTTAAAGGCAAGTCGCCCCACAGCACCTATACAATAGGTAGTATCACTTAAAAACGTATACTTTAATAAGCAATAAGTGTATTATTTTCATCTTCAGGATATTTATGATATGATGGTTTCTTTGGATGTATACCGAATTTGATTATTGTCATTTAATTATTTCGCATATTTCGTAAAGGGGGAAACGAGACAATTTTAAGTCGCACACAGCACCTAGGCAATAGTAGTATCACTTAAAAACGTAAACTTTTATAGGTAATAAGTGTATTATTTTTATCTTCAGGAAAGTTATAATATGATGGTTTCTTGGAATATATACAAAAATTGATGATTGTGATTTTATTATTTCGCACATTTCGTAAAGCCACAAACTACACAATTTTAGCTAATTGTGAGGCAAGTCGCGCAGAGCGCCCAGGCAATAGTAGTATCGCTTAAGACGGTATAATTTATTCGGTAATAAGTGTATTACTTCTGTCTTCAGGATAGTTGTAGTATGATGGTTTCTTGAAATATATTCCAAAATTGGTGATTGTGATTTTATTATTTCGCACATTTCGTAAAGCCACAAACTACACAATTTTACGTGATCTAAATGAAAGTCGCGCACGGTAGCGAGACAACAGTAGTATCACATAAGACCGTGTGCTTTATTTGGAAATTCGTGTATTAGTTTCATCTTCAGGACAGTTATAGAATGGTGGTTTCTTGAAATATATACAGAAATGGGTGATTGTGATTTTATTATTTCGCAGATTTCGTAAAGCGACAAGCTACACAATTTTAGCTAATTTTGAGGCAAGTGGCGCAGAGCGCCCAGGCAATAGTAGTATCGCTTAAAACGGCATAATTTATTCGGTAATAAGTGTATTAATTCCATCTTCTGGATAGTTGTAGTATGATGGTTTCTAGGAATATGCACCAAAATTGGTGATTGTGATTTTATTATTTCGCACATTTTGTAAAGCCACAAACTACACAATTTTAGCTAATTTTGAGGCAAGTGGCGCAGAGCGCCCAGGCAATAGTAGTATCGCTTAAAACGGCATAATTTATTCGGTAATAAGTGTATTACTTCCATCTTCAGGATAGTTGTAGTATGATGGTTTCTTGGATAATATATCAAAAGTGGTGATTGTGATATTTTATTATTTCGCACATGTCGTAAAGCGAGAATCGACACAATTTTGCGTGATTTAAAGGCAAATCGCGCACAGTGGCTAGACAACAGTAGTATCACATAAAACCGTGTGCTTTATTTGGAAAGCGTGTATTAGTTTCATCGTCAGGATAGTTATAGTATGATGGTTTCTTGATAGATTATATATATGAATTGATTATTGTGTTTTTATTAAATCCTGAAATGAAACAA